GAAAGAAAGAAAGAAAGAAAGAAAGAAAGAAAGAAAGAAAGAAAGAAAGAAAGAAAGAAAGAAAGAAAGAAAGAAAGAAAGAAAGAAAGAAAGAAAGAAGAATGGGGACACAGGGGCTGGGCAAGCAGCAGCAACATCAGACAGAGTGACTCTGCTGTTGAATAATTCATAATGGGAGGTGAACACTTCACCCTTTAACACAGACACAAGTCGCCTCGCCTTGCCTGCACTGCGGCCTGCCAACCTTCACATGTTCAGGCTGCAAAGGAGGAAATAACACACACTCACACGTTTCATTATATCCACTTCTATTTTATTGTTTTTTTTATTAATATTATTGTTGTTTTGGTGCCTGATCAGTCCAAACTCTTGCTTCTGTGAGAGGCTCTTCTACGGCTGCAAAAAAAGGTGCTGGAAAATCAGCGGCAGCAGTTTCTATAATTTTGGGTTTTCTGTGTTTTGTTTGATAGAAGTCTATTTTTTGCTTCATGGGCACTTTGTGCTTCCGATTTTCCACAGCCAGGTGTAGTCAGTGTTTCTTGCCCTGCCCACTTACACCTGTTCTCTGTTGTCATTTAGCCTAGGTGTCCATATTTTACTCATGAGCACCGTCTATTTATTCTCCCATGCAGTTTCACCATCGTGCGCTCCACGCCCTGTTCCGTTATCTTCTGTTTCTCCTTGCRTTTTATTTGGTGGCTTATTTTATTTTTGTTTTCAAAACTACTTTTGTTCATAAATACGTAATTTAGTTTTTAAATTTCCTCATGTTGGTCTGCATCTCTGGGTCCGATCCCTCTACCAAACCTGACAGCAGTGAGCTGTAAATTATGAGAACACAGACATCAAAATAAGTGCACTCCGTACGTGCCTGCACTTCAGTGCCTAACACATGCTATGCCAAGTGACACTAGACATATGATTATTCAGCGTGCACAATCATCATATATCTCGTGTCACTGACTACTTCCATTTGTCAGGTTCAGTTTACGTGTGTGGCTTTTAGATGGGGCTCTTGGTTTGCTTTATATATTGATTCACCTGTTTCCACCTCTGATGTTTCGCTCCCTCTCAGACAGGCTGGCTGAGTTTGCTATTAATACTCTCGTTCGGAGGCCCTCCCTGATGGGGCAGTGGCTATATTCTTAGCTGACGTTAGCTTTGCTAAAAGAGTGTGTGCATGCGAGTGAGAGAGAAGTAGATGAAATGAGGGAAAAAAAAACAGTCTTTGCTTTTATTTTGTTTTAATGCTCGAGTAGTGAAAGTGTGCTGTAAGCATGTGATGTGTCTGCACCACTTTGATTCATTTAAATCTATATGAAGCTGCTGCTCAGATGAGGATGGTGTGCGTTTTGTATTTGTACGTGTCTTTTAGGGTGCTGATTTCTCAAGCCAAGTGCAGCTGGAGGGGACTTTTCCCTTGTGATATGAGAGCTGCCTAATTTTCTGCTCTCAAATTCCTTCGCTCGGCTCAATTTGAGTGGTTGGCTCGGCTCGTTGAGAAATGTAAATTGGAAGCAATGGCCCTGGATGCTAAGCTGCTATTATCTGACATGAACAGATAGTTTCATTAGACTCTAATAGTAATGTGTCTACTGTCACTCAACTGGCCGAGTGGTGCAGCTGTGGCTCAGGTGAGCATCGATTTAGCCATTTTGCAAACCAAGAGTAGGGTAATCCAGATGCGGCTGCCTTTCTTGGATTATTTTTGTGGCCATATCAGCTAAAATTAATCAGACTGGCTCATTAAAACATGATGATAATACCTCAGCTTTACAAACAATAGTTGGCTCTTATGGAGGCTACATGTCCAGAGTGATTTTTGTGTTTTCACTTCACTTTGCTGTGAGTTTGTGCTCCAGCTTGGCTAAACATGCACTTAGGTTTGCACTTGTTTGTGCACATATAGATGAGGATCGATTTGTTCCCAACAGGATGAGCTACAATAAGACAAGTCTCTATTTTATTTATTTGTTTGTTTGTTTTTTGTTGTTGGAACCATAGAGCAGGGCTATTCAACTAAATTGCTCCGGGGGCCACAGTTACTGCCGGTCAACAGCTGAGGGGCCAAACAACCAGCAATTAAAGTTATTATGTAAATAAACCAAGTATTACAAAGATCTGTTACCTTTGGTTTAGTTTATTTTGTTGCATTTAATCATGAATACAACATACAGAACCCTATAAAAGTAGTGATAATTAAACAGTATCAAAAAAAAAGAACACATTCTGCTCTTATTTGACACAAATAATATTTTGACATCTCTGACTTGCCAAATTTTTAAGCCAATTTTATTTTCACTTTCATCATTTTATCTTCAACAGCTTGTAGTTTTAACTGTCTTGAGTGTTTATAGAAATGGTTTTTACCAGCTTCTAGCCAAGATTCTGGTGTTTCTGTAGATACCAAACATGTCTATGTTTAACTAAAAGAACTTAGAGTAATTAAAGTAGAAAACCGGTGGTTTGGGCTTAAGAGATGAATGAAGCAATTGACGGGCCGAACTTTGGTCACTCGCCGGCCGGATGTGGCCCGCGGGCCACCAGTTGAATAGCCCTGCCATAGAGGATTTCCTCACATTAATCATGTTGATCACATGTGCAATTGTGATCCCAACAGCAAGGAAATTCATGAGATTTTTGGCTGTGATTAAAATTAATCTTTTTTGCTCTATTTTGAGAAATGAACAAAATTGCATTCCTTAAAAAAATATGCATATCACCTTCCATCTTTCATGGCAGAATTTTCTACTAAGACCATTTTTTTTATWGCAAACTGTAGGAGTTGTCTTGTGCAATACCAGATACCAAGCTCATTCAATTCAGTGTTTATGGAACTGACACAAAGGCATTTCTGTGTTGGCTATTTTTTATTAGTTGTGGAAGATACCCTCAAAATATGCCCTCGAGGTGGGTTGAAAATGCTTGTGACACAGTTGGTAAGGGTTCAGGTTTGGCTCAAGATGCCCATGAAGGCTTTATGGCTATATGTAGAGAAAATTTGTCACACAATTTTTTGAACATGTTCAAAATTTAAGCCACAAGACTGCACACCTCTTAGACTCGGGTGAGGAAATTGAAAACCCTGCGAAAGACTCAAGACATTTGGGGCTCAAGATGCCAAGACTGTAGCAAATGCTTTTTGTCAAGTTCCAGATCAGTACTACCTTTCATGACAGGTTGTTCAGTGTCCATCCCACTATATGAGGCAGATTCATGTTGAGTCAAAAAARTCTGTAGAAATGTTAAATGCACTTTTTCTATGTCGTTTTGTTCAGGGGTGTTCCAAAATACAGTTTGGTTGTGCTTTTCTACGATGGTGAGAGACTACATTGCGTTGAAGTWATCTGGTTAACAGTGGGCATAACTGCATTTTAGTAATGTTATTCAGTTAATCACAGTGTGAACATTCTTGAAAACTGAATGATTTTGGACTTGAAGCTGTTAAAAGAGCTGTTTGAGGGTTAAAACTTAGGTTTGTTTTTCTAATAAGATTAAATATGGTGAGAGGTAAGGTAAAGGTGGATTTAGTCACTTTATTGTTGGTAAAAAATGAAAACAAAAAGACAATCTGTTTAATTAAAACAGTCGTAGAAACATGCCATGCAAGGGTGTGTTTGAGCATGTCTGTGTTTGTGTGTGTGTGTGTGTGTGTGTGTGTGTGTGTGTGTGTGTGTGTGTGTGTGTGTGTGTGGCAGCTGAGTAAATAGTCATGATCAGTGCTTGAGGTTGGGGATTCTTCCTGTGGGATTAAATAAAGGCTAATTGGGGCTAACAAGAACTAGTCACTCATCTGTTGTCTTTGTTTTTCTTCTTTTCTCCTTTTCCTCCTCACCACAGTTAACCTGTTAGACTCCAAAGCAAGCCAAGGGGAGTTAGGATGGATTTCCTACCCGTCACATGGGGTGAGTATGCAGTGGATATGTGTATCTTTATGAGAAAAAAAAATCCACTAACATCAACTGCTTGTAAGAAATTTCGATTTTTTTAGACTCAAGTGGTTCTAACTTTGATATTTTGAACCATCGAGTCAAGTGCGGATTAACCCAGTTTTTAGATGTTGTTGTCTGTTCTTCATCTTACAGGTTAAAGGTTAAGTATTCAGTGTGCCATATGGTCAAAATACTTAAGGGAAACTGCACCACCACCATTGCACCACCATGTGTGGTTGTTTGTATATTGGAGTCTGTGAGTGTTTCAAGACAGATTAAAGCATTAAAGAAGTGTGGGCTGTCAGCCTAAAACCATCCTCATAAGACTTTGGATAAAATTGCAGCTTTTGTAGAAAATATCTTAGAGAAAAAAAGCACTCATGGCATTTTAGTGATGCATGCAAACTTTGTAATTCCATCGCTGACATTCCACTTATCAGCCCATGTGTGGAACATTACGCACCACATCAACACATCTGTCAGACCTTTATTTATTTTTTTAAGTATAACACTACCAGTCAAAACACGTGTTCTTCTAATTCAACACTTTTTTTATGCTTAATTCCTACTAACTTTAAATAATGCAGACATCAAGGAGTTTATTTAATCAAAATGGATCTAGTGTAGGCTACACACCTGTGTCGGCACATTTTGTTAAAACGTGGAATTTGAAGAGATTTAGGGCTACCAATATGTTTTCTGAGTCTAAATAAAAAGTCTAAAAGGTGTTCAGAGTTACAACAGCCTTTGTTCTAAAATACAGGAAAACTTGCAGGGTAACTTTTATGGGTTTTATTAAAAATATATATGGTCTGAAAACTCCAAAATTTATTTAAATTCTGAATAAAACATTTTTAGATCTTAATTATTTTCTTCAATTATTATTATCGTTATTAAACATGTTTTTATTAGCTAATAT